CTTCGTTTGGTTGTTGGCGTTGTTTGTTGTGGGTACCGGGTTATAGCCTCTCTGACCGTTGCCATCTCTCCGCCGATTTATGTTTTGTTAACGCTGGGGTTGACGTGTCTGCCTTCTACGGCAACTATACATTAACCTAATTTCGTCCTTTGCTGTCCATCCCACGACTCGCGCCCGTCTTCGTATCACAGCCTGCACTCCAGCGCCACCGGGAACGGCAACTTCACTGTTCGCAAACTAGGCAGCAACTACGGCAACCGAGTGGGGCTGGAGTTCGGGACAGATGGCGTGGTGACTCGCATGACCTGCACGTGCGGCTACTAGACTCGATTCAAGATCCCGTGCTGCGATATCATCGCCGTCGGGCGAGGTGAGCAGTGACAGTTCCGGCATTCGTATCAGTGTGGCGCAGCCCGGTCTGACCGGCGAAAAGAGGTGCAGTGTTGCTGAGTCAAGTGTTGCCACAGCCCGCAGTGGCCCGCCGTCCCGCTCATCCCGCCGTGAAAGTTGGTAGACGCGTTGGAGCTTATTTTCCAGGAAGCACGAACGGGTGATAGACGCTGTCCTGGAACACTAGGATTGCGTTCAGTCAATGCTTTTCGTCGGGACTGCGTTGGCGGACAACTTGAAAGAAAGAAATATCCTGCCATGTCGATGCCTCGCATGACACTCATGTATGTGCCTTTTCCTCCACCGCCCGGCCCTGCCCTTATTTTTGTCAATGACGCAGCGTTGGACAAGTCCGACGAGATCATGTCAAGCATCGACCCGGCCTACCACCTCGACACCTACCGAGCCCTGTACGCGGACAGCCGGTTCGAGGTGCAGCTGCCGGTGCCTGATGAGCTGGCGGTTGACGTGGACATTCTTCCTCCGGCCTGGGTGCCCAACCAGGCTGGTCGCCCCAAGAAAAAGGGGCCCTCGAGGACGAAGAGGATCCCATCCAGGGGAGAGCACGCTTCGTCGTCCTCCTACAACGTCCGCCTGATGCCCGCCCTGTCTGAGGGCGCGCCTGCATCGTAGCAGGGAGCGCCCGCATCGTCGCAGGGAGCGCCCACCTTGTCTCAGGGAGCTCCCGCCCTGTCGCAGGGCGGCGTGCAGTCTGGTGTTATCTCCGTTGACTAGATGGGTAACAAGTACCTCGCGTTTCGTGACCTCGGAGTTTGCTGTCTTCGACCACCATTGTCCGTTGTGCTGTCGCTCTTGCTGTGTCTTCTTGAAGTTCCTCGGTAACGTTTCCTCGTGTTGTGATTTTACGGAGGGATGGGCCGGTGAAGTGGCTGAGCAGCGGCGGTACTGGCCTGGCATGGCATGGCCTGGCCCGCCTTGTTTGGGTTGAGAAATTCCGGGCATGAATCTCACGCGAGTTGTCGCAGGATGGTGTTGGGCTGTTGATTTTTGACTGTTGGGTGTGCGAGGTGACCGGCCTCCCTTCACACAAGCACGGCGGTCAGTTCGCTGTAGCGCCAACCTAGTGGGGGCACGATTTTGCGTCTCTGACGGTTGTTTTGTTTGGGTAGCTTTGACAGGAAATAATCTATTGTCTCGACTAGGAGCGCTGTGCGTTTTTTTGTCTCGTGTTTCGTGTGTCATTTCCGAACTCTTCGTTCTGTTCCGGGGTCGTTTATCGTTTCACCTTTTCATTCTGTTTTTGGTCCATCCTTGTTTATTTCGTGCCATCTTCGCCTCTTCAGTCGGTCCACGTTAGACATCTGCTGACAGCAGTGGATCATCAGATGGCACCAGAAAGAAAGCTTTTATCGCCAATACGAGGGATGGTACGTGTTGATCCTGTGTTTCACCTCCGGACTCTACCTCATGCTCCGCGCTTGTTTTGGTCATCCTTCTTGTCTTTCCTCTTTTCCGCACCCTGTTGCGTCGACTTCGTGTGTCAGTTGGACTTTCCACCATTTTTCCGCCCTCAAGCAAGGCACAACGTACAAGTAAGGCTGCGCAACATCAAAACCCACAAACTTTTGATACTTCGCAGCAGCCGCATCACCTATCCTTGTGAATACGCTTCTTTTCACGATGTTTTTCCCCAAGGCAGCCCCTTCGTTTGTGGACGCATGGTGTGCTTTTAACCACACACAGGTCAGGGTGACACCGCCAGCCACGAAAAACTGTTGCATGCAAATCGGGGTTGGTTCCTCTACCCTCCTGGAAGAAGTAAGTGCGGGAATACAAGTGTTGCACTTCTAGGTAGCGCCACGCAGTTTGATCACAGCAGCACACGACACGACGCACTTACGACCAGCTTTGTTAGTAGTGTGTACTTCTCTGCTACCACCGTCAGTAGACTATGTCTTTCAGGGGTTGACAATGACGGCAACATCGTATTTTTGGAGTTTTTGTCACAGGGTCATCCGTGCGCATAGCGGCAGAGACAAAACAAGCGAGGGGTACTCTTGCAACTTGATCGCGCACACCGTTCATGCTGCGTGTACCCCCACTCTTTATCTTTCCCCATCTCCTGTGGCAAGCCCGCAGTTCCTTATCTCTCCCGGGTACTCACGAGAGGTCGAAGTCAAGGTCGCTGTAGCATAAAAAAAAGAGAAACAAAAAAAATTGTGATCAGATCACTGTTAAGGAGTGTTGCTGTATGGCACAGATAGGGTACACAGTCGGTCTAGATTAAGATGGGGAACGTCAGGAGGTATACCCTCTTAGGACGTACCCCATCGGGACTTAGCTATCTGCGTGCCCCCAGGTTGAGGGCTGTCACCTCAGACCTGTAGCAGACCCGCTTCTTCTGCAATAACAAGCAACCTTCCCATCTCAACATGCTCGTGGACAAGAAGAGTGTCTAGGGCAGAATCTACCTCTACTACATCTAGGAGGCAAGCCACCGTCGGGCGGACATTCCTTTAAATCACCTTGTTTTTTTTTTTTCACCGCGTTGCCGATTTCGGCGCCTCCATTTCTCCTCGGCAATCGATTCCGCTTGGCCGATGTAGGGGGGGTAGAGCCACTCAGAAAGTTGATCAGACAAAACTCGACGTGGGAACCGAGAATCCAAAATCAATCCCAGGAATTTTGAAATTGCTCAGCTACTACTCTGCTGTCAGCTTTTGAGCAGCTGAAAGTCCATTGTGACTCAAAACGGGACAACATTCCAATACCATATTTGTGATCTCCACCCCAAAATTACCCTAATTCAAAGTCAGGAGAGATTACTTTAACATGTGGAAAGTGTTGCGGGAGGGGGGAAATTTCAGTGTAATTCCTAGTAATTCCAGGTTATCCTGCCTTTGCCCATAATAAATAATATCAGTGCGTAGGTGTAGCCGCATCGATCCTGATCGAAATTCTGACGACGGATTCTTTATGTACAGCACAACGTTACCCTAACCTGAAAAATTCATACGATTCGGAGGCGTTTGCATCTTGCTCGGGGGGCCCGCAGACGCTATTTTCACCCAATTTCTCATCCATCAATAAGTCATCATCACGACATCTAAATGGGAAAATAAGCATATTTTCGTGATCCTCGTGACCTAACGGATGTTGGTACAAATTTTCAGATGGTGGGAACCATTTCTTGCTGCTCGTGGAAACTATTCGTCTTTACCGCAGAACACCCCGCCGGGATTCGAACCCCTCACCTGACCTCTCGAAGGTTTCGAGGTTACCAACTACAATGAATGCCGGCATTCAGGCGGTGGCGGAGATTCTTCAATACCCTCCTGAACTCCAAGTCCCCCACTCTGAACCCAGACGTTGTCGAACAGGTGATGCAGCGACCAGCGACGCGCGCCACCCGACACCTGGCGGCGGTACCAGACCTCGAGGAGGTTGAGGCGGCGACGAAAGGCCTGGGGAACTGGAAGGCGGTTGGTCCCGACCTCCTTGCCGCCGAACTGCTCAAGGTCGACGGCGACGACGAGCCAGTTGTACTGGAGCGCCTCCGTGCCATCTTCGTCGAAGTGTGGAATGGGGGAGAGATGCCGCAGGAGTGGAAGGATGCCATCATTAAGGTGCTGTACAAGAAGGGTGACCGTTCGAACTGCAACAACTACAGGGGCATCTCGCTGCTCTCGCATGTAGGCAAAGTACTCGCCAAGACCATCACCAACCGCCTGAGCGCATTCTGCGAAGCCAACGAAATCCTCCCGGAGGAACAGTGCGGGTTCCGGCCTGGCCGATCCACGGTATGCATGCTGTTCGTTGTGCGCCGACTCCAGGAGCTGGGGCGGAGGAGGAGAATCCCGCTCTACATGTGCTTCATCGATCTGCAGAAGGCATATGACTCGGTGGACCGGGAGCTACTGTGGAAGGTGCTGGCCCGGGCCGGGATCCCCGGGGAGATGATCGCCGTCATCCGCAAGTTCCACGTCGGAATGCGGGCCCGGGTCCGCACGGACGATGGGGAGCTATCGGACTGGTTCCCGGTCACGCAGGGATTACGACAAGGGTGCTCAATGTCCCCACTGCTGTTCAACGTCTTCTTCGCAGCGCCTCTCGAGATCATTGTCACACGGTTCAGCCAAGATGAGGTTATCGTGCGGGACCTAGTGTACTTGAAGGAGGAGGAACGGAGGGGGGGGGGATTGCTGGACCGAGTCCGGAGGGCGGTGTGGGGGATGCTATATGCCGACGATGCCGGCGTTGTGTCGAAGTCCGCCGACGGCCTGGCGAGGATGATGACCATTATCGTGGAGGTGTTCCGGGAGTTCGGGCTGACGGTGTCGGAGAGGAAGACGGAGACCCTGGTGATGCGGGTGAAGGAGAGACAGCGACCGCCGCCGCCGCCACCGCCGGTGCTGACCATCGAAGCAGCGGGGCAAAGGTACGCACAGACGACCGAGTTCCGATACCTGGGCGGCCTCGTCAACGAGCAGGGCGACCTTACCCGAGAGATCAACCACAGGAGCAAAGCAGCGTGGGCGTGCATTAAGCGATACGCCACGGAGCTCTTCGACCGACCGGGAGCACCGTTTCGCCTCAAAGCCCGCCTGCTCCAGGCGGAGGCAGTGGAGGCACTGCTATACGGCTGCATGACATGGTCCCCACGCCGCAACCACTACGGAATGCTGCAGACGACACACCACCGGCTACTCCTGCGAGTCATCGGCTACCGGCGCAAACGAGGCACCTACCGGCAGCTGTCATACGCCCAGGCGCTAAAGAGGGTCGGCTGCCAGAGCGTGGAGGCCACTGTCCGTCAACGGCGCCTGCTCTTTGCGGGGGCCGTGGCAAGACAGCCGGACGGGCGGCTTCCGAAACGGCTGATGTTCGGCGAGTTGGTGGGAGGGGAGGACCCGGGCCAGGGAAACCCGGAGCAGAACTGGCTGACATGCCTGAAGGACGACATGAAGATGTTCGAAGCCAGGTACGGCTCCACGACCGACAAGCCGAGCGTCTTCGGAGTCCCGAAGTTAGTCTGGAGTGAGGCGGCGAAGGTGGAGGGGGGGGTACCGTGGCACGCGGGGGTGCTACAGGGAGCTGAGAGGTTCATGGCCTCTTGGCACAAGGGCAAGGAGGAGGCCAGCCGACAACGAGCCATCAAACGAGGAGACAGCGGGCCCAAAAATAGTCTAGATACGGCACCAATCAACGGGGCGGTAGGGGGGCGGAAGGAAACGGCGCGGCGGGAAGAAAGCAAGCGAGAAGAGACCGACCGCGTGACGTGACATGTTGCGGTCGAATTTCAACGACTAATTTTTCTGTTGCCCTCTCCCCCGTTTGCTGTCGCGTTCAGACTGTCTCTAGGGATATCCCTGTCTCTGTGCGAGTTTGTTTGTGTCCTCGTCTTTGCTTTATTCTGTTTTATTTTGTCTTTTGTTTTGTTTTTTACTGGCACGTACCCCCGCCCCGTCCTTTGGCCGTCGACCTGCCTCCATGTAGTGGGAGGCTACCCCCCCAGGCTGGTGGTGCGGCCGTTCCACTAGTCTAATTATTTATTTTATTTTATTTTATTTGTTTCTGATTATATTTTGTTTTCTTGTATTTTATCGCTCTGCTGACCCTTGGGGTCCATTTTATTTTGGTATACCTTTTCTAGGTACGTTAGCCTGTGACCACGGAAATTGGCCGAGTCAAGTGATGGATTAGTACGGAGAGATTGAGACAGAAGGAGGTACTGGATAGAGAGACCGGGATGGTTTTTAATGTGAAGACAACAACAACAACAACATTCATCAGGCCGATTTTGGTTGATCGGCCATAACTTCACGAGTTTTTCACTTTCTTCAATTTTTTCTTTTTATTAGTAGTAATCTACATCCTGGTTGCCACAAGAGTTCTTCAGGGACAAAATCGATTTGAGGCGTTCCTGGAATTTCCTGGTTTTCGTATAAAATTTTCGAGGCATTTCTGGGGGGAGGGGGGATGATAACTCTTTGGCTAACATTTCGGCAACCACGAACTCAAAACATCCCGCATCTTTTTTTTGTTTTGTATCGGCGGGGCTTGAGTAAAGGAGAACGAAGATACTCATGAAAAAATATATATGATATGTTTACATACATGTGGCGCCTTCCTGGGGCGGGACAGGAAATGCGGCCCATGCGCACCGGCTTGTTTCCATGTAGATGTTTGATTACTTCAATCGACTGGAGGCCCTTCTGTAAAATGACCCCACGATACCCACGCACGTTGCACTCTTCTTTTTTGCAACTACTGAACGTTATGCGCACGGCCATACATACTACAGTTGTAGCCTACAGAGAATCCGCCAACGAAGAGGGGGAACAAAACAATACACCACGCACTGCAACAACGCCACTGACAACAACACGCAGACAGATAATAACCTATTGATACACCCATGTCGACATATTACGTACGTACGCGTCAACACCACACAACACAGAATAAACGTGTACATCACTTAGGGTTAATGAACTCTGACGGAGCCGGCTTGCGGTGAGACTGAAAGGTGTCCCTCTTCTGTACTACTGCTTCCGCGCCTCGTTGAAGTTGGCCACCGTCCTGCAGAACTTCTTCGGAGCCTTGTGCTGATACACACTCACCAGCCTACCACCACGATGAGCCAAGGTTGCCAGTATGGTCGCCAGGGACTTGTCGCGAAGCTTAAGAGCCATGGGCGTGGACCGCGACCCCTTTATGTGTGGCAGCCGTTGGGGCTGATGTGGGCGAAAAAATTGGAAAATGTTGGTTGTGATTTTTTTTAAGTTCTTCATCAACGAGCTCGGGGATGATTCCGCCGCAGTTGTTGTTGTTGTTGTTGACTTCACATTAAACCGTATGCCAGTTGCTAAATGCCAAAATCTAGCAAAGACTCTCGGCCCGTGGTCACGAAAGTGCTGGAGCCATCTGAGGATCTAAAGAACACGCACACGTAGCAAG